TTTGGAAACCACGGCAGCTCAATTCACACAACTGGTTAAAAACACATGCAGATGCTTTTAGAGGGTGGGGGGAGGACTTCAGCCCCCCCTTTGCCCAGCTGATGGGCAGAAAAATGCACTTTGGAGCACAGTCATCCAATGTTAACATTGCCAGCTTTTTGAGGGGTGGGGGTGTTGAATATGTGCTGGGAACTTTAAACTTTAAAACTTGTTTTTGAGAAGCATTTTCATTTTTTAACTCCTTGCTGGATTTTCTCTCTCACTCTCTCTCAACCTGCTCCCCGTCGGCTTCCTTGCCCACCTCCCTGCCTTGTAATTGAATTTCACGCCACCCTGCCTGCATGCCCGGCCCCCATGACGGTTACGGCTGCTAATTTCTTTTTCTTTTCTTTTCCCTCCTGTCTCTTTTGACCAGAAGAGTGAAGGGAGGTTTTCCTTTCTTCTCCCCTCCCCTGAACCTTCCCTTGCAGCAGCCACCGCAATCTATGAGATTAAATCGATTTGCTTGCAAATAACCGGCTAACAAGGCAGATTTGGGTTGTTTTTTTTCCCCCCCCTCTTTAAAAAACACCGTTGCTTTGAAAGAACATCAGCAGACTCAGCCCGCAGGTGTCATTCTGAAGGCTTCTTGTGTCTGGCCATTGCCCCAAAGGTCTTAATTTTTCCAATACAGAACGACCAAAGCCCCCCCCCCCCACTGTCCCCCGTTTCCCTCCCTCCCCACATCACAAAAGACCTACAGGCACAAACTTTTGAGTGTCGGGTTTGTTTGTTTGTTTTGCAAGCAAACCTAAGCTCACCACTCTCTTTATCAAAAGTTGCTGCTTCTGTGGGAATTCAACCCGTTGGTTCATTGACGGTTCGGCCGAATTCAGCAGTTGGGCTTTTTTTAAAAAATCTATTTTATCCATCACAAACGGTTTGATTTACACACTTGCCTGGGTCTTGTCACAATATACACAAGTTGAAAGCTTCAAAAGAGTTTATAAATTAGGTTTTTTATGGCTTGGAGCGTTAGCGCGTTTTCCGTGCGTTTGTTACGGCACCACCAGGGTTTGACAAACCGGCTAGGAACTCTTGGCAATTCTTGGCAGGATCCCTGGCAATTCTCAGTGGCTGGCTCTCTGCTTACCTCCCCCCCCCCACCACACCCACCCAAAAGCTTCAGGAAAAGTTGGCGGCCTGGTTTTCTTTTACCGCTAACTCTTCCTGGCTTTCTCCTGGGAGTTTCCCCCGCACAACAGGGCCAAAGTAAGTTAGACATCGTTTTGTGATTTATTTTATTTTATTTTTTTGGGCCTTCCAGTGACAAATCTGCTGTCAATCATTCTATGGGTTTAGTGTCCCAGGAATTTGCAGGAACCTTCTCCAGTACTACCACTCAATTTTTTCCTCCCAAACCGAGACTAAATCGAGGACACTTCTTAGGACGTCCCCCTTTCAGATGGGACAAGGGTGCCTTTAGCTGTGGCTCTCCGTTCTTCTCCTGCCCAGCCCCCCATTCTGCCACCCCTGGCTCGGGAGATGGGCAACCACATCAGCGTGCAAACACCGGGGAGCAACTGAACAGAGAGGTCAGACACCTGGAGGGGGCCGACCCTGGCCCCTTGCCTGATCAGCCCCCCTCCCCCATTGGCATCAGCCCAGCTCCCCCACAGCAAAGGCCACCCAGTCCCATCATAGGCAGGACATGGGCACAGAGGCCCTGCTGCTTTCCTACCTGCCAGGAAAGGGATTGCTTAGCTCAATAGCACCCCCTGGTGACCCCAGCCGGCCTTCGCACCCTGGAGCCTGAGCAGCTACTTCTTAGGAGGCAACAGGAAGGCAGTCAAGATTTTGGGGGTGCTTGGTCTCTCTCCCACCCCCATCTTGCCTTCTTAACCTCCTTCGCCATTTGCAAAGCCCCCTTCGCCTGTGCTCTTCGCTGGGCTACTCTGGGGTCCCCGAAGGAGAGGAATATGCCAATAAAAGAGGTCGGTCTATCTAGCTAATCTATCATTTTATCTACTGTGTTTCCCCGAAAATAAGACCCTGTCCTATATTTTTTTTGAACCCTGAAATAAGCATTGCATGGCTATATCGCCATGCACTCAAAAGCCTAATTGGGTTTATTATCAGGGGAGGTCTTATTTTGAGGAAAATGGTATCTCTTATCTACTTACCTACCTACTCTATCTATCTATCTATCTATCTATCTATCTATCTATCTATCTATCTATCTATCTATCTATCTATCTACCTACCATCTCTCTGTCTCATCTATATCTACCTACCTACCATATCTATCTTCTATCTACTTACCTACCATCTATCTATATCTACCTACCTACCATCTCTATCATTATCTATCATGTACCTACCTTCTCTATCACCTACCTACCATCTCTATCATCTACCTACCTACCATCTCTATCTATATATCTACCTACCTACCATATCTACCTGTCTACTTATCTACCACCTCTACCATGTATCTATCTATCTATCTTATCTATCTTTTCTACCTACCTACCATCTCTCTCATCTCTCATCTATATATCTACCTACCATTATCTATCTATCTATCTATCTATCTATCTATCTATCTATCTATCTATCTATCTATCATCTATCTATCCACCTACCTACCTACCTATCATCTACCCTACCTACCTACCTACCTAATTCTATCATATATATAATACATATATTTGCAGATACTTCCTTAAGCATCTTGCACCAAGAATTAGGTCCCTGAAAGGGGAAAACGAGAACTCTTCCTTCCCATGTATTAGATGCGTGATGCACGAATGACCGATGCTGACACTGCCAGGTTTCAAACCATTTATAACAGATGGAGAGAAAGCTTTGCTTTTTTTAAAAACAAACAAACAAACAACCATCTATTTAATCCAAAGGAACGTTCTTTGGGCTTTCATTTTGGTCCTTGGAGGCTCAAACTAAAGAGAGAAAGGGATTGCAGCTTCGAATCAGAAAAGGGAGTTTCCAGAAACCCTGGAAAAAAAGAAAAAGAAAACTTGGGAAAAGGACGGCCGGGGACGAGCCAAGTTCCTAACGATCAGTTCCTCGTTGAGGTTTCTATCTCGCCGTGCCAAAAGGAGCCAAAAGGGAACGACAATCATTGCGAGGCTGGATTTTGTGTGTAAACTTCATTTTCACAAGGGGGACATTAAAATATATATATATATATATTGCCGCTTGGATAAGTGGGTAGCTAAGTGCATGCCGAATGGAACGGGTCCAAGAACGGCTCCATTAAAGCCGGATAGATGGTGGTGGAGTAGGGAAGGGGGAAAACACCCCCACAGGATGCGGAGCAAATTATTTTAAAGCTCTCATTTGCTAATTTGTAAAAGTATTTCAAGTATATCGCAAAGTCAGTTTGGCTCGGCTCCACGAAGTGGGGGGGGGGAGGAGACAGCCAGCTTTCTGGAAGTCTGTGCTTCTTTCACCCAGATCTCCGAGCAAGTTAGGGAGGAGGGTTTTTGGGGGGCTGCTTCTAGCAACACCCCACTTTTGCCTTCCAGTTGTGATTCACACCGTGGGGCCCATCGCCCAGGGAGAGCCCAGTTCCTCGCAGCAGACCGAACTCGGCGACTGCTACAAGAACAGCTTGAAACTCGCCCTGGACAACAAGCTGCAAACAGTGGTAAGACCAAGTAGGGTCTGGAAGCCTAAGGAGGGATCACCTTGTGGTCCCCCCTCCATCTCTCTCCCGCAGCACTCGCCAACACCGCTCGTCCCTCGAGCTGGAGACAATGGGAGCCGGAGTCCCTAATACGTGGAAGTCATGAGGCTGCCTGTCTCATTGAACGCTACTTAGAAATGGACGAATGAGATCAACGTTTCTCGATCTTGGCTACAATGAAGAGGGGTGGACTTCAAACTCCCAGAATTCCCCAGCCGGTAGGGGCTTCTGGGAGTTGAAGTCCACACCTCTTAAAAGTAGCAAAACACGGATCTAATTCATCCATTTCTAAGGAATTTTTCTGACAGTGAGAACCATCAACCCCTGGAACAGAAGTTGCCTTCGGAAGTTGTAGGAGTTTCATCCCTGGAGGCTTTCGAGAAGAGACTGGACTGCCATCTCATCAGAAATGGTGCAGGGTCTCCTGCTTGGGCAGGGGGTTGGACTAGATGACCTCCAAGGTCCCTTCCAACTCTGTTAATCTCTAATTTGAACTTCCATTGATGGATGAGAGAAGAACCACGTTTTTTTTTAGCAAAGGTTTGAGAAAGCTGTACTTCAGAGGCACCGACTTATGACCTATGAGGCCCAGCCAGCTTCAGATACTGTAGTCCAACACATTTGCAGAATTAAGAGAGTTGGAAGGGACCCTTGGAGGTCTTCTAGTCCAACCCCGCTCGAGGAGGAGACCCTGAGGAAAACACCATCCAAAACACTGGGGTGGGGTGGGGGTGGGGCGGAGATTACGAGGGAAGGACGGAAGAATTTACATTTTTCAGCCGATCGAGATCCAATTCAACGTCGCCGCGATTTTCAACTTGAAGGATTTCTGGGTACATTATCCATTTATTGTCCCCTCCTGCACACAAGACACATTTTATCCAACATCATCCCCTTTGGAAGTTGATGCTTCCCAAGATGCGAAAAAAGAAAAAGGAAGAAAGAAAAAGGATTTACCCCTTTTCTCATCTTTGTACGAGACAGAAAAGTTTTAGGCAAAACCTGGGACCCTTTTGTATCCGAGCGAAGCCCCATCCTTAACCTCCTTTCTTAATCTCTCTCTCTCTCTGCCTACAGGCCTTTCCCTGCATTTCCACCGGGGTCTTTGGTAAGTACCGAGGCAGGAAAGAGAGAAAGGTAGGCAGGGTTAACTACCCAGATATTCAGCAACTTCCCACGTTCTCCCCCAGGCTACCCCAATGACGCTGCTGCAGAGGTTGTTCTCGACACATTACACAATTGGCTAGAAAACAACAAGGACAAGGTACGGGGGGATCTCTTTGGCTCTGCCCGGTGTCTCTTTTCCGACTCAACACACAGTATTAACTTCTCAGCCAACACCTGGTCTTTGCAGGACCTTGTGTCCTGTAGGATGGGGTGGAAATTCTTTTAAAGGGATCATATAAACTCAGGCAATCCCTATTGCAAAGTTTGGAGTAGTGCTTTAGATAAATAGAAATAATTCCTCCGCTTATATAACCATCGGGTTAGTGACAAAAGTTAAAGCCAACATTTAAAAACACGACTTACCTGTGTTAGAAATCGCTTCGAAGAGGGCGAGGAGGGATGGACCAGATACAACTCTTGAGAAATTATTTTTTTAAAAAATTGCTACCCCGACGCCGAAGGAAAAAAGTTGTAAGTCTAACCCGAACGCTTAATTTGAGATGGTATCTTTAAACTTTGAATTGATGCCAGTTGCAAGCAATGCGTGAAGGCCTCCACATTTCAAAAATGCCATGTGCCACCCCACCCCACCCAAACTTCCTTCTCCTGCTAACCGTGGTTGTATCTTGGCCAGGTTGAGCGGCTTATCATCTGTGTTTTCCTGGAAAAGGACGATGAAATTTATAAGGAGAAGCTGCCCAAGTTTTTTCCTATCGGTGAGTCACTGCTTGGGGCCTCTGTCTAGATCAGCGTTTTCCAACCCGGGTAACTTTAAGACGCCTGGACTTCAACTCCCAGAATTCCCCAGCCAGCCATGCTGGCTGGGGAATTCTGGGAGTTGAAAGTCCCACGCATCTTAAAAGTTGCCTGGGTTGAGGAGGAGTGATTTACCTGGCTGGTGAAAGGGCGATCAATGGCATTTTTGGGAACCACCTTCTCCCTCCTCTCATTTCCAGCCTGACCCCCCACTTCCCATGCTCCGAAGGCGGTAAGCATTTCCCAGCATGGTGTGCAAAAGTGCAGTCATGGGAAACGCATGTTTGCAATTTGGCCCTCGCCGTTACTTAACCTGGTTTTTCGTTCATTAAAACTCGCGTTTCCTCTGGTCCGAGTTGGGAAGAGATCCAGAAGGCCCCCACAAAGGGAATCTCCTTCTGGCCTGCACGGGGAGCCCTCGGCCTTAATTCGTTTAGTGGCCAAAGCTACGAGACTGTAAAAAAAAGGGACTTACCGTTGGTCCTCGCACTTATGACCATCGCAGCATCCCCACCGTGACGGGATCAAAATTTGGATGCTTGATTTGGATGCGTGTCTTTACAACGGTTGCAGCATCTCAGGGTTCTCGCGATCAAAACTCGGGGCGCTCGGCAATTGCTTCATATTTATGACAGTTGCCCCATCCCGGGGTCATTGTGATCCCCCCCCCCTTTTTTTGTGCCCCAATGACAAGCAAAGTCAGATTCGCTTAATAACCGCACGACTCTTAAAGGCTGCAGCGATTTCCTTAACATGCCTCCCCACCAAAAAAGTTTGTAAAATCTGACACGACTCGTTTAACGACCGCCTTGCTTAGCAATAGACATTCTAGACCCCACATGGTATGGTCAAGACCGTAGAAAGTCCTACAAAAGACCTGTACGTCTTTTCTCCTTTTTATGCACAACCAATGACGAGAGAAATTCTGCAGGAGCAGAATAAAACTCCCAGGAGTTTTCGGTCACCCTTCTGGCATCTTCTGTTTTTTTATGAAAGATGCACAGTATTTTCGCCTTTCTGGGTTGGACTCTCCTCGCCTCCCAGATGAACACGGAATTTTTCCCATGGTGCTTTCGTCTTACACGCCACTGTACAACAAAGCCAGGCTCTCCAACGTGCGTTAGAAGGATTAAAAAAACGGCAAGGAACAGGGAGGGGCAAAGAGCAGGAATGAATGAATCAGAATATGGCTTATAAAGGGCATAACATTCCCACATTTGAGTAAAGTAAGCAGGGGTGGGCTGCTGGGAGTTCGCAGGGGTTCGGCAGAACCTCTAGCTAAGATTTTGTGCAGTTCCCACTCCTGGCTGGCCCCGCCCACCCTGCCCCACCCCTCCCAGGAGTCCCCACACTGCCCGTTTTGGATGCAGGTAAGTGCAGGGTGTGCGCAGAGGCTCGGGGAGGGCGAAAATGGGCCTGTTTGCAGCCTCCGGAGCCTGGGGAGGCCATTTTCACACTCTTGGAAGCTCAAGGAAAGCCTCTGGAGCCCAGGAAGGGCAAAAATGCCTCCCCCATGGTGCAGGAGGCCGACTAGGCCACGCCCACCATGGGCACGCCCACCCAGCAACTGGGCAGAGAACCCCTTGCTGAAAGTTTTTGAAGCCCACCCCTGAAAGTAAGTAACAGGCCTAGAATCATCTCAGCGAAGTCAGGAAACAACAGATTTTAAGAGGAGGAGGAGGAGAACAATCAACAGTTGGCCATAATTCTCTCTGCCCTATGCAAACACAGGTAAAGTTTAACGCCCGACTTTTAAGTTCATTTATGTCTACGCTGCCCACTTCACTCTGAAAACGGACTCTTCTTCGCACGTGGTCTTTCGCTGGAGACAGGAAGCGTTCCCACCTTGCCCGCCTCCCTTTCAGAAGGTGCCACACAGACCCCACGGTGGTTTTGGGCAACCGGGGCTCACATGGGGGGCAGTGCTTTGTCGGAAAACGGACGGCAACTCTTACCCCTAAATCCTCCTTCCCAGCAGATCCCTGTGAGGAAACTCCGTCCTCAAAGCTCTGAAGTGGCTTCCTGAGAATCCGGCTGCTTCCTCTGCAGGAGGAGACGCCGGATCTTTTCCAAGGGGGAAAGCTCGAAGAAAACACCCACCCTTCTTCCCCCAGGCGCCATCGGCCGCAATTCCAGAATAAAAATTGCAAAGATGATCCAGTTGTGGCATGGTGAAGCCTGGTGGATGGGATGAGGGGTAGGTGAGTAGAAGCGGGACTCAAATTTCATGTGAAACACACACACACACACACAGACACACAGACAGAATTACATCAGCCTACCCAGAGCTGGTATTCAGCCGGTTCGGATCGGTTCGGCCGAACCGGTAGCGGAAATCAAAGGTGGGCCCACCTACACGCCCTGGCACTATGCCGTCCTTAGGCACATTTTTTAGCTGCGTGCATGTGTGCTAGCCATGCGCGCAAGCATGGAAGGCCCCACGCGTGAAGGTGGCGAGCACGCACACGGGTGGAAGGCCGCGCATATGCTCACATTTGCGAACTGGCAGGGAAGGTAAGTGAATACCACACCTCTGCGCCTACCTACTTGATCCACACCTCCTGGTCTATCCTGACTTATATTTAAGCTACTGAGAGTTTTAAAACGCCTCCTTTCAGCAGAGGATTTGCCGCGCCTGGCAATTTTCTACTAAAGTGGCTAAAAAAAAAACCAAGGAAAAATAAGAAAGCTGTTCTACGTCTCCTCAGGGAATCGGGACAAAAGACTTGAAGCGGAGCCTTCTCTGCTCACTTTGGCACCGGGGCAAAAACGGGCAGTGGGTTGCTAGAGGCCGCCGGCCGGCGGCCAAGGGATGGCCCCGGGGACTTCATGCAACACCCCCCCCCCAAGCTGCAGGTGTCTCTGCCCAGGAGAAGACGTGAAACAGCGGCCCTTATCTCTGAACAGGGTGGATTTGATTTAAATCAAGTTGATTGAAATCACGATTTAAATCACTAGTAAAGGCTCGATTTAAAAATCTGAATTAAATTCAGGAACGCACTGATGAGGAATTGGGGATCCAAGAAAGACTGATGTCTACGAAAGAGGTAACTGACGGGTCCCCATCCAGAGTGTTGCCCCGCACATTTCCCTGCTAAAAGTTATTTCCTCCCAAGCTTGAGGACTAGCATCTTACTGTGTGCAGCCTGTCAAGGACAAAGTTTTTTTCAAAACGATTGCCGGTGTGTGCCCTAAGGGGCCTGTGCCAGGGGTGAAATCTACTTACCTTCCGAACCGCTTTAGAAGTGCACACGCCCCGCGCATGCACAAACCTTTCTGCACATGTGCAGAGGGTAAAAAACTGGTTACTTCCTGGTTAAAACCAGGAAGTAACGCTGACCGGGGGGGTGGGCGACACCATCGCTACCGGTTCGCCCGAACTGGTCTCAGCCAGGAGCATCTCGCCCCTGGCCTGTGCCCTCCGTCATCGGCAGGGGCAGAGGGGGCTTCCTATCCCAGAAACACTTAAGAGAGAAGCCAAAAAAAATAAAAACAGGTTGTCTCACCGGCCTCCCCTTTAATAAAACACAGAAGAGTGTAACAACAAAAGCAGGGAAAAATATATAATAATAAACAAACCAAGTGAGCGAGATGGGCAGCGGGAACGATCACCATTTACAAGCACAGACGAGGCTGCCCGGCGATTGGGGGTGGTGGTGGTGGTGGAAGGAAAACATGGGCGAGATGGGGAAGGCCGGGACATTGGGGGGGTGGGGGGGGGTGTCAGCAAGGGGGAAGGGGAGAAAGAGAGAAAGGGGGGAAGGGTGTGGGGGGGGGGCTGGCCGACCAGCCACCTGCCTCGCTCCTACCCCACCCCCCTTTTATTTATACAGGATGTCGTAGTGTCCCGGTCTGTAGAGTAGATACACGTTGGGCTCCGAGCCTTCGGGGAAGACATGGGGGTTGGTGGTGCCGCCCTCGCCCCGATCCATGTACTCCACCAGGATGGAGACGTTGAGGGCCTGAGCCAGGGCGATGATGTGGATGTGGTCGCTCTCTTTGCACATAGGTTCCACCTCCTGGAAAAGACCGAGAGAGGGAGGGAGAGGGGCCGGGGTGGGTGGGTGGGTGGGATGGGGTGGAACAGAGGCTGGTTTGAGTCACCAAGCAGAGGGGCACCAGGCCTGCAACCGAGTCACACCGAGCCCACCCAGGCCTGCGACCGAGCTCTTTTGCCCTCAAGAGGACTAGAAACGTTGAGGTAAGATGGGTGGCCTATTGAGTTTTATAAACCAAACACAAAAGCTTTGCTGGATCCGTGGAGGCCTCGGAATACCAGCTTCCCATTTTACCCTCCGAGCCGCACGGAATCCTGCCTGGTTCTCGGACCAAAGTGGAAGGAAGAGTCCTGACCTTGGACCCATCACCCACGATTAAATGTGGTCCCTCCCATCATCCCCACTCTGGGGGGTTCTGGGTTTATTTGCACGATGCCTTCCCAAGGGCCTTTTGAGTTGGGGAGCTGATGGCAGCGGAAGCCCTGAAGTTTTGGGAGTCTTTGGCTACTGGCTACTTGGGCCAGGCCTTCCCCACGCAAGGACCATTCTCCCCAACTCTTCCGTGTTGGTGCAGTCCGAGGAGGAGGAGGATCCAACATTCCCCCCTGTCCTGAATGCTTGCTAAATGGTGTCATTGCAACTGTGAAATTCCAGCCAATAATCTATGATCATCACAGCCATATCCTTACCCCTAAGGCCAGTGTTTCTCAGCTTTGGTGGCTTTAAGGTGGGTAGATGTCAATTCCCGGAGTTGACGTCAACTCTGGGAGTTGACGTCCACCTACCTTAAAGCCGCCAAAGCTGAGAAAAACTTTTTCGAGGCCAACCAATAGCCAGTGTTTCAGTTTGACCTCGTTTGAAATCATTACTCCCTCCAAGGCTGTTCGAAGTCCGGGAGCAAACACGGCTCTTCCGTGTTATCAAGAGGACTAGAAACTCCATTCACAACCAAGGCTGCAGATTAAATCGGAAGAGCAGCCTAAGGGCTCTCAAACTGCTAAGGGGGGCTGGCCACGGCTCTGTCTTCCCGCTCTCTCCCCTCCAGCCCCAAATTACTCATTTCCTTTTCGAGCCCCCCCCCCCCGCCGCCGCCGCCGGCACCCCCACCCCTGACCTGCTGGCAAAACTCCTTTATGCTCCGCCCTCCCTCGATGAAGTGCTCGAAAAACTTGTTCTCTCGTTGCAAGTAGCCGGACGTCAGCAGCCGTAAGTAGACGACAAGGTAATCTGAGGTGCTCTGGTCGTTGAAGGAGTTCAACAGCTCCCCGACCGTGGTTTGTTTCTCCACTTGCTCTATCAGGTCCATGAACTGCAGGGAGTCAAAGGAGAAATTTGAGGGGAGCACAACGAAGGAACATTCCCCCCCCCAATTCCCAGACTTTCTCCTTCCTGCCTCTCATCTGTCCATTCCCAAATTCCCCCCCCCAAAAAATCCTTTTTATATACCCTCTGAACATCCTATATGTACCAAAGACAAATTCCTTGTGTGTCCAATCACATTTGGCCAATAAAGAATTCTATTCTATACAGGTAGTCCTCATTTTACGCCCACAATGGAGCCCCCGAATTTCTGTTGCTAAGGCGGGACGGTTGGTTCGGTGAGCTTTGCCCCATTTAACGACCTTTCTTGCCACAGTTGTTAAGCGAAATGGTTACATTAGTGACCCAGTGGATCTTCCTTTTGCCCATTGAGACTTTGCTCCTTGGAAGGTCGCAAAAAGAGGGATCCACGTGTGCCCCGGGACGCCACGGCCGTCATAAATACGAACCGGTGGCCGAGCGCCTGAATTGCGATCACAACGGAGATGAGGTTCACAAAGTCTTCGAAGTTGCCAAGTTTGGAGACCGCCCCCCTCCCTCCGCTGGGTTTTAGACCACGACTCCCATCACCCCCAAGCCAGCCTGGATGGCGGTGGCTTTCGAAGGCCAGGGATGCAGGACCACCAGGCCTTACCGTATTATGGAAATCCTCAATGGTGAATTCCGTGAAGCCCTGGGAAACAAGCACATCTTTGCTTTTCGCTGCCATTTCTTTGAAGCTGAAACGAAACCCCCCCACCCAAAAAAGTGTAAATTTCTGCACTGGGCTGGTGCCTTAAAAATCCACTGGTCTCGGGTGCTCTGGGACTCCCCTTCCCATCTTCCCCGTCTGGGGATTCCCAAGCCTACCGCTGCAGCTCCTTGCCGTCCTCCAGTAGAGCCTCCAGGTGGGAAAAGCCAAACGCTCGGTAGAAGCAGTTCCCATCCGGCCTCGTTTTGCGAATGTATGAATACTTCTTCAGCAGATCCTGGGCCGGAAGAAGAGTGGAGAAGGACCTCAGCATCTCCAGGGTTTCCTGCCTAAGCAGGGGGTTGGACTAGAAGACCTCCAAGGCTCCTCCCAATATTCCATTCCATTCCAATTCTAATAATTCTAATTCTATATTCTATTCTCTATTCATTCTCTACATTCTATTCTGTTCTTTTTTGTTCTGGTCTATTCATTATTCTGTTCTATTCTATTATAAAAAGGTAAAGGTTCCCTTTGCACATATGTGCTAGTGCAGGGGTCTGTAACCTTAAACACTCAAAAAGAGCCATTTGGACCCCGTTTCCCACAGAAAAGAAAACACCGGGAGCCACAAAAACCCTTCCCGTGCCTGACTTATTTCTTGAGCGGCCACAAAACTAGCCTAGGTAGTTGAATTAAATGTTCTGTTTTCTTCTGAAACTTTTCTTTTCTTGGATTTATCCGTGGTTGGCCTACCGGGGGTCAAAAAGCTCAATAAATCGTGTGCTGGCAGGTGTCGCACATTGGTGGTAGTGATGGATATTTTGAGTGACAGGGAGCCGCAGCAGAGGGGTGAAAGAGCCACATGCAGCTCCAGAGCTGCAGGTTGCTGATCCCTGTGCTAGTCATTCCCTATTATAATTCTATTATAATTCTATTCTATTCTATAATTTCTATAATTTCTATTCTATTCTATTCTATTCCTATTACTATAATTTCTATTCTATTCTATTCTATTTCTATTATTTCTATTCTATTCTATTCTATTCTATTTCTATTATTTCTATTATATTCTATTCTATTTCTATTATTTCTATTCTATTCTATTTCTATTATTTCTATTCTATTCTATTCTTTTCTATTTCTATTATTTCTATTATTTCTATTC